CTCTCTCTCTCTCTCTCTCTCTCTCTATATATATATATATATATATATACATATTTTTATAAATGCTGAAGTACTCAGGCCAAGTGTCCCTAAGTCTGCAATTACTTTAAAATGTATGAAAAATAAGATGAATTAATAACATGTCTTGGAGCAGAGTTTCCCCACTTTGGCAATGCTGTTATTGCAGGCTGAATGGACAGAAGGATCTGGGGTTGTTTTTGTTATGAGAGGATGTACTAAGAACTAGATGTAGGATGGTGTAGAGTATTTAACGGCTTTCCTTACACTGATACCACCAGAAACCAACAGCCCTCTCTAAAGTAAAGTAATGATCACCAAAAATGTCTCCAGCCCAGAGTGGTTACACATGCCTACCATCCCAGCATTCTGGGAGGCTGAGGCAGAAGGATGGCAAGTTCAAGCCAGCCTACCCAATTTAACAAAACCTCATTTCACAATAAAAAAATTAAAAGAAAGTGAGGGGGGACTGGGAACATAGCTCAATGTAAAAACCCTGGGTTCAATCCTCAGTAACACACCTACACATATCCTGGGGGCATGATGGTAGTAAAACTGCCTCTAGTAGAGAACTTTAGGATTAGAGAATTGGTTAAATGAATAGACACATGACAAAATAAGCACAAAAAAATGTTAACAGAGGCTAGACACAGTGGCACAGCCCTATAGTCCCAGCTATAGGGAAAGCTGAGGCAGGAGGATGAAAAGTTGAAGCTTGGGCATCTTAGCAAGATTCTGTCTTAAAATTTTAAAAAGGTAAAGGGTTGGAAAGAGGATGGTAAGAATGTGGCTCAGCAGTAAAGGGCTTGCTTAGTATGTGAACCCAGGCCAGGTCCCAGGTTCAATCACCAGTACTGAGGGGGAAAAAGTTTTAAGAGATTTTAAATGGTGGGTATATGTAAAAATTTTCCTCTTTTGCTGTATACTTGAAATTTCTTAGGTGGGTGTGGTGGCTCACACCTGTAATCCCAGCACTCGGGAGGCCGAGGCAGGAGGATCTTTGCAAGTTCAAGATCAGCCTGGGCTAGAAAGTGAGCTCAAGGTCAGCTGAACTGCACTGTGAGACCCTGTCTCAAAGAGACCAAAAAAAAAAAAAAAATCTTATAATAAATTATTGAAAAAATATGAAGGCAGATTGCAACTGAAAAGCAGCCTTCAAAAGCTTTCGATCTATTAACATAATAACAACATAAATCAAAATTTAGTGGCAACTTTTCAAAATTCCTTTTCAAAGAATTTACTAAGAAAAAAAGCAACACCTCAGGGTTGGCATCTCATCTTTTTTTTAAAACTCAAAAATTGGCCACAATCTACCATTTTGCTAATTTTACTAAGCAATATGCTTTAAAAGGGTTTTTTTTTTTTTTTTTGCCTATTTCTAAAAATAAATGCTTTTTCCATCCTGAGCAAATAAATGGTACAATAAGCTCCTCTGGAAGGAACTGAAAAATTTTTTGAAGAGCATGGTCAGTGACTGTGAGAGGCACCAGAACTCCTATGGACTACTGCCTGTAGCCTGGGATATTTATCAAACTGCTCAGCCCCTCTTCTAAGCCTGGGCGCCTGCTTCAGAAAACCAGGGCTACAGCATCAGCTTTCAGTTGCTGTGAGGATGAGCGGTGCCCACCACACTGGAATACTGTTGTTATCATTCCAAGGTCATCACCAGAAAGACACATTGCTTAAACAGAGAGCAAAATAACATGAATTTACACTTGAACTATAATACAAAATTCCCCTCTTGTTCCCCACATGAGACAGGATCTTTTTTATATTCACAAAGTTGGGGAACAGCTGACAAAGTGATTTCTTCTCTGCTTGCATACTGCTTGCCTCCCAGTACTCCACTGGCATTCTGTTTCCTCCCTAGAATTATTTGCCAGCTTGGTTACTACTGGTCATTTTTAAGGTGGTGGGAGAGGAAAAGGAACAGGTAAATTCCAGAAGACCACAGACAGAGCACAAAAATGCATCCCCCCATCTATTCCCACCCACTCATTAGTGTTCTTTGTAGGGAATGGAGACTTGTATTTAAATAGCACTGGTACACTTTCAGGGACTAAATGGTTACAAAGTTTGCTGAGCTAGGCAGCACACCTGGTCACCATTTGTAACATTTCTTGTTTCTAAGAAAACATTTCTTGTTTCTAAGAAAAACCAGTGAAGAAGTACAAATGAAGTTATGCAACTCAGCTGCCTGCACAAGTTACCTCAGATCAGTGGTTCTCAGCAAGAGCCTCTCAGAAAATCTGTACGATGCTTTCTGCTTATTGCAAGCAGGGAAGTGGAGTCAGGGCATGCGCAAGGCAGGGGCCCTGGCAGGTGTTCTGCCGTGCTCAAAACTGCTCTTGCCAGGGAAAGCCATTCTGATTATCCATAGTAGTTCTAAGGGTCTGCCAAACACCAATGTTGGCTAAAAATCTGCTTGTTGCTATCCTAACCTGACTCCATTTCATATGTGAATCTTAAGTGTGGCTACTGTTATATTCACTGACTCTGTCAAGCACATAATTTCTGTCCAAACTGAGGGCAGAAAGTGCTCTGGGAAATAATCACAATGCCCTCATCAGGTATCTGGTTATACATATCTTTTTTGGGTTTTTTTTGAGACAGGATCTGGCTAAGGAATTCAGGTTGGCCTTCAACTCACTATGTAGCCCAGGCTGGCCCCAAACTTATAGTGATCCTCCTGCCTCAGTCTTCCAAATGCTGGAATTATGGGCATGTGCCACTACACCCAGAATCAACACATATCTTCATCAGTTTTCATTTGTAACTATCCTATTCATGGCCATTCTACATAAAGATAGAAGGACCTGCTTTGTCCAAGCATTTACATACTGAAAATATAAGATTTAGCTATATGCTACTTTCCTTTCTGCAAATCTCTTTTTAAAATAATTAGTGCACTAAACTATTTTAAAATTATATGTGTAAGGAAGTTTTATCATTTTGGAATTCTTTCTAAGAACTGAAAAGGGGACATCGTAAAATACTTATTTTCTCAATGGCAAGTGGGATCCACTGGGCTGAAAACCACTCACGTAACAGATAACTCATTTGCCTACGTATCCTTCTCACACAGCCCAAAGGTGGCATTCATTAAACTCCTACTGAACTATACATTTTGGTCTATTTACTGAAAAGGCCAGTTTTGTTACAAAGTAGTCATATTACACATGAATTTCTCCTACATAAAATACCTAACTACCAAATATGAAGTGGATATGCAAGAACTAGGATTTTAATCCCCTAGTCCTTCAGCATTGAAACCACACAGCCAGATAGCATGGGATGCGTAGTGCCTATATCTCAAGATGCAGAATCTGTTCCTATTCTTGCCTCTGAGTGTAACCAGCACAATCAGAAATTCATTCTTTCTTTACAAAAGGTCCTAAAAATGACAAAGTACTCCTATAAAACTGTCACCTCAGTAAGGTGTCATTAGCTTTTTAGGCTGAATGTCAGCATTACCTGGTCAGAAAGTCGGCTTGCTGCATGCTCAATTTCTGCCCTGACAGTGATGGACTGGCCGCACCATGGAGCATAGAAGAACAGCAGTACCACCTCTGAATCCCGGCGAATGTGCTCTGCATAGTCCAGCTGCCCCTGGAAGAGGTCAAGGACCGGAGACCTCGAGGAGAAAAAGCTGACAGGTGGCTTTGCTGGTATTATCACATCTTTTGCTCGACTAAAAAAGAGCAAACACAAACAAGATTGCTTAGTTTATCTTCTTCTAACAACAGTTTTGTGTGGAAAGAGAATGAAGCTTAAAAGAAAAGGCCTCTTCTGAATAAGAAAACAGAGTCCCCAAATCACTGTCCTTAAGTAAAAAGGAATATACTTCACTAAGGCCAATCTGGCCAAGTCTGCAGACAGGCACAATATTTTGGAAATGATTTTCTGGTATTCTCTACCCCGGGGGTCTGGAAGAGTGGAGAAGAGAGTAATCTGGAGTCTTGCCTTCTACGTGCCAAAGATTCCATCCTCACCTCTCTGCAACCTGGTTCTCTACGGGACTCACTCAGGGCTTTAGGCCCATCATCTCTTGAGCTCGTAAGTATGGGGAGGGGGCATACACACCATCATTAGAAGGATTTCTACAGGAGGTGCTTATAATTGATTCAACTTTGAGAAAACATTACATTTATTAGTTAGAACTGGCCTGTTCTTACCTGGAGCATCCAAACAAGAGTAACAAATGACATACATGTCTCCAAATGCATCATAATCTAGAGTAAGAAAGATGTATAACAAACCAAAGCCTATTTTACTGGAAAATAGGCTCTTTGAATACTCCAGGTCCCATCAGGAAACAGGTCAGGAAGAGAGAGAAAAGAAAACTGAACAAATGGCCAGACGTCAGAGACCAGCCATTACTTTCCCACTGACACAAACAGGCTGTAGCTGCAGTGCTATCCCACCACGTTAAGACTGCCAGAAAGTATAGAGCAATACCTAACTATGTGTTATCTAAATGAGATGCATTTTACTTATTTATTTATTTGTCTTTTTGAGACAGGGTCTCGCTATGCAAGTCAGGCTGGCCTTGAGCTCATTTTGCAGCCCAGCCTGGTCTTGAACTCGCAACAATCCTCCTGCCTCAGCCTCCCGAGGCATGTGCCACCACACCCGGCTAGGAGATGCATTTTAAATATAAAAACATTGGATAGAAGCATAAGGATGAGAAAAGATAAAACCATGTTAACAGTAAGCATAAGAAAGCTGGCATGACTTATCAGATGGAAAGGATACACTGAGCCGGGTGTGGTGGCGCACACCTGTAATCCCAACACTCGGGAGGCTGAGGCAGGAGGATTGGGAGTTTGACACCAGCCTAGGCTACAAAGTGAGCTCAAGGCCAGCCTGAACTGCATAGTGAGACCCTGACTCAAAAAGATTAAAAAAAAAAGAAAAAAGAAAAAAGAAAAAAAAGAAATTAGATCACCTAATAACTAATAAAGGCATGAACAACA